ATTCCGTGTCTCCCTCTCTCTGCCCCTCCCCCCTCCTCTCAAAAATAAACATTTAAAAATTAAGAACAAATTATAATAAAATAAAAATTTCACAAAAGGCAGACATAAATGACATTTCGATAAAAACAAATCCACTTGGAAGAGAGTGAAATGGATGTACAGATATAAGTTAGGGTGTTCCAGGGAGCCATTTCCTGGGGTCATTCTAGAAATCATGAGGACTAAAACGAGCACGGTATGTTTGTGAAACGACACGCATGGCAGACAAATCAGTTTCCGTGGAGTTGAAGATTGGAATAGAGGCATGCGGGAAAACAGTGCTTGAGAAAGAGGAAGGTATGTGGATCTGTGGAAAGGTCTAGAAAGGTGCAGAGAATTCGAATCACAGTGCAGTATCTCGGTGGGAAAAGGCAGAGGCGGTACATACCAGCAGGTGGAAATCAGGGATGTGAGAGAGCCAGGATATGGGAAGTCCCAAGGACTAAGGAAGGGGTAATAAGGAGGCCAGCAAGATGGCCGCCATACAGAAGTGCTACCTGCCACAAGTATGGACAGGGCGTCCTTTGGAGACAGAGACCCTGAAATGGCCCAGGCACTCCATAGAACATGGAGCTCACAGTACACAAGGCTGGTCCCTGAAGAGCTACCCCAACAATGTCTCCACCTCTCTGCAAATGTACCAGTTAGGAATGAAATGTCCTGAGGGGGTAAAGTACTCTGGGAATTCCTGGGTGACTTCTTCCTGTTGGACTGGACTCTTACTTTATCTCCTTTGCTCCTAAGCAAAGGTGGTTCACTCTAGAGGGGGAAAAGAATCTGTTGGGCTCCTGGGTGACTCATTTAAGCCTCTGACTAAGATCAAGGCTCAGGTCATGATCTCACAGTTTGTGGGTTCGAGCCCCACATCGGGCTCTGTTCTGACAGCTCAGAGCCTGGAGCCTGCTTCGGATTCTGTGTCTCCTTCTCTCTCTGCCCCTTCCCCACTTACACTCTGTCTTTCTGTCTCTCAAAAATGGATAAACATTTAAAAAAAAA